CTGATCCTGCTGCAGCCCGGAGCCGTCGCAGTTCTTCATGTGGCCCTCGCCTTCGATACACGTGCTCCGCGAACTCACCAGACATCTGCTAGCTGTCGCCGTTGCCGCCGTTGCCGCCGCTGCGGCCGCCACTGATAGCTGGTCGTTACCATTTGCGAGTTTTTCCTCGCTGTCGGGAGGCGGCAACAGAAGCAGTGGTGTTTCGTGCTGACCCAACATTACGTCACGACAAGGCAAGAACGGTGTGTTGCCTCACAGGTGCCGTGAGGGCAGGGACGATGATCCTGGAACGTCCTTATAACCCAAGGCTTTCGGTCACGCAACGAAGGTCAGATCAGATCAGATCAGTCAGTGGCTCGCGTTGATCGTCGTCCGTGCTCCAGGGGGAGATGCAGGTCGGCCGAAGAACCGGATGTGTCTCTTGACGTTCCTCAACGAACGGTAAGACAGAACAAGACGCGGAACTGCTGCAATAGTGCAGAGGGAATCGGGACAACGGTCCTGCTAACACAGCGACATCGGAAATAACAACAACGACGACGATGACGACAAGTTGAACGACGTTCACACAACGACACCTGTGGCAATGACGAATGTTCTGACTCCGGTAGCCGGCCCTCACGACCGAGGGCAGTCATTCTTAACACGTGGCGGTGTACACGAAACGGAAGTGGCTGGTTACCGTGCGCCAAGTGACCAGTCAGTGAATATGCACGTCGCGGACCTCACAAAATCTGTCGCTGACCGGTTGTCGACTGGTAAACCGGCTTTGTTCATCGTCATACGTACTGGCTGTTGCTGCTGCCTCCGATGCCGAGGGCCAGTTGTCTTTGATCGCAGCAACGTCTGCAGATGATGCGTTTTTCGCCCCGAGTAACTCTGATGTCAGACCGGGGTCAGCAGCAACGAACGGCGCATCACTCAACCAATCAGCGTCGTTGCCGTCATTGACGGATACGCAGCGATCCGCATCATTGAGCTCGTGCGGTTCCTCGCCTCAAGGCAGTGAGGCACCATCATCCGATCTCTCGTCACCCGCCGAACGGATCGATGGCTGCTTGTCGTCAAATCTGTCACTCCACTTGGCACCTCCGTCAACGCTTCGGGCACCGACCACTTCCACTGAATGACGTCATTGGCAAATTTTGCCGCTGTTTAATGTGGCTAAAGTCATTACACTAATCCTCAGCAGATGCAAATTATTACTTCGCGAGAACTTAAGGCGGCGGCAAATCTTCAAGGCACGTGTGACTCGACTCTGTACGTGAACTGCAGCGGCCTCATGAAGAACGCTCATGTCTGAAACCGCACCGTGTGTTACTACAGAAGGATGGGAGGAAGGGGGGGGGCAATTCTTATCAGTTTATTCTGTTGACATAATCGTATTCTGATACGAGGCTGAAACTGAATCGTTTTCTTGCAGCAGCTCAGATGTAATAAATGATATAATAATCATGCTAGAAACGACTACGTGCTCCTTCGCTTTTGCAGAACGACAGCTTCCTATGAACCAGCTGGTCAAATGCCATGAAGAACAAGACCCCTTTGTACCCCTAAGTTCACGAGTACAAACCGAAACAATTCCATATTCGCTGTCATAACACGACTCCATACTCGAGTTAGAAGTTCGACTTAACACATTTAAAATGGAAGACGAGCTTCGCAGCATGAGACCTTTGAGGATGATCCAGGTCAAGAATTCTTTCTCGTTGAACGGACTCGTCCTTCCGGTGCATTCAAGCACTGCAAAAACAAATCTTGCAAATATGAGTACCAGATCCTTAGCAAAGCAGGAACAGCTTAGCACCTTCAACAACAGAAGCTCAATGTTGACCCTCAATGACCCTTCCGTTTGGTTTCAATTCATGCCGACATTATGGAATTAGGTCTGCTGGGTGGCACGATCTTGAACTTCTATCTCTTAGACAGAAACTACTCTGTTCGTAGTGCAGGACAATCTGAAAAGAATGTTACATGCGGGGTACTGACCCAAACGGATCCTTGGCTGGTTCTCGATTCGACCTCATGCATCGTTTCGACATTTAGTTAGCTCGAAGTCTTTATGTACTTTGTGCCAATTTGTAGACGTCCTCTTTTAGGCCCATTTGGATAAATAACATACGGTTGCTTTGTGATCGCTTGTCAATACTTCTCCTACATGGTACAGGCTACTGTGTTGTAGAAAAAAGAATTATTGTCTTAACACGGAATAATTAATTTTTTTGTTCAGTTGAATTTTACCCGTCTGTGTACAGTTGAGCTTTTCAACATAATTTCGTGAAACTGTCTTCACATTTTAATGTATACGATTTGCATTCATGCACAGTTGCATGAATGAGGCAATTCAATTTCCGGACAACTCTATACGAACAGCTGGTATGGATTATATAGTATCTGTTTTGCCTTGTGTGTCCATGCTGCATGGTACCTTCTTCATTGAACAACTCCGGTATTTAGTTTCCCTCTTCAGGAGCTCCATGATTGAGGCAAACCATTCATGCTTCACTATTGATCTCTGTTATAATTTAACCCTCAGTATGCATCGTTTTGCGCGCTCTCGTATCTTCTGTCCCCTTAGTCATGTTTGCAGCGCCTATTTGCACTTCCATTGCTGAGTCGCGGGAAGAAGTATCGAAGCTTTACCATTTACACTATTTACAGACATGGGGTAAATTTTCTGTACGCTGGTTCTCTCAGACTAAACTCTCTTCTAACGTGGGCTATTAGATCAACTGAGAGCCGATCGAATAATGGTGGACTTGGTTCGTGTCTGACGAATCTTGTTCAGTGCATTTTCGTGTTCATCACCCGAGATCGAAAAGCGGAAAGGTTCAAGGAATGATGGATTGATGATGTGGCAGAATCGACCAAAATGAACACTGTCTGAAATTACGGAAGACCGGTGAAATTGACACCAAATAATTGCTTAGGGGCATAGCATAGCTGACAGTATGAACGAACGGTCACTAGGTGATTGACGTGCACCGGAAGTGTCCACTTTGGTCACTCAAGCCCATCGGCTGATTGACGACTTGTGACCAGCTGCGCTGTCACTGGCTCACGTCGTAAACTGTAGCTCGAAAATTTTATGTCCTTTTACTGACGCATCTTGTTATGAGCGCAGTGGTTTTTGTCGTTCTCCTTTTTGTTGTTGCTCGCGTTTCAGCCTCTGGCCGTACGTCCGTTGTACAAGCCACTGTGCAAAAACCACCCCAGCGCGATTAGCATCTTCACTGAACACATCATAAAGTTGTCAATGTGCAACCGTCGGCTCTGTTATGAATCGCCTGTCCGACGATGAGTTACCTTTGCATGAGAAGGAAGCCGCAAACTCCACGCACGACAGTAGCTTCCAGTCGGTAGACGCTGAGTTCAAAATGTTACGGTAGTTCTGGCACCGGCAGAGATGAGGAAAATGTAAGGAATTATGCATTCCAACAATTTCAAATCCTTGCTTATTCCCCTTTCCACTACCGAATATCGGCTCGAGCCAGAAATGGATGTTGTAATATGTATAAAAGACCATGAAACAAGCCAATGGCAACTGTTCGCCGTGCAACAAGAATATTTATATTTTTATTATGCTGCGGTATAACTTAAAGAAAGGAAGCCTCTTTATAGGAGCAGCATTTAAACTACATGTACGGTGCAAGTACTCTACTCAGTCACTGCTAGAGTAACGATTATTACGAACATCTGTGCGGTGTCTTTTCCAAACAATGCTAATGCCTCGTAGTGCAACTATCTCGTACGACCAAATGCAGGGAACTCCAAAACAGGGAATTGCAAAGTTGCAGACAGTCAAAGTCGTCATTACAATCTCACAGTTGAACCTAAACTCGAACTTGTGTCGTTGTAGCCATAAACAAGAAGAAGTCAAGTGAATCTAGTCACTGAGCCTCTTGATGATGAGCAAAATGCGTGATGCCTTCCACTATCCACAAAAATGATGCCATAGAAAACGAACCAGAACAAGAAAGGAAGGAACAGGACAAGAAGAAGACTGGTTTTTTCGTGCTTTCAATACCAAGGGGTCTCAGCAAAATTGGGTCTCAGTACCGATGCACCGACAAATGTGATATTAATAATTGATGTACACGAAAATGTGGAAGATCGAAAAGAGGAGAAGGAGGCCATGAAGAAGAAGAGCTATTTGATCGTTCTACCACTGTCAGCTGATATGGGCACAAATGGTATTCGCTCGCTCAGTATTATTCACGAAACACAAAATACAAGGCGATGACAGTGTCATTGGGCAATGCCAGTTGTTCATGCAACTTCTACTCTTCCTCAATTCAGCCAATCCTGAAAGGATAGGATGCCGTAGACAGGCGATAAAGCTGAGTAAGAGAGGACGTCACGTTTAGGGGGTATATGATAGTAGTTGTTTAAGAGACGCTGTCCAGTGGTTTATGGCACTAGGCATCTGAGGCAACGAAAAAATGAGTCGATCCTAAGTTCTTGCTTCGCATTGTTGTTGTTTGTTTGCGTGTATATTTATTTACCTTGGATCATTTTCAGGAGCATAGCGTCTTTATTTGACGATGTCTTTCGTGATCTAATCTTTTCAGCACTTGTGAAATTGGGCATCCGCTATTGCGCCATGGAACGAGTGCTTCCCATTCGAAAGCACGTCTGTCCTTAGCTCGTTCATTTACTCAATTTACACTGACTTTGAGGTCAATGGCAGCCGTGTTTCGGTTCCCACCATTTGTCGAACAGGGTCAGCCTCCTTTTCCACGACTCTACATGTGTAATTCCAGCAATACTTTCGTTCTTGAAAAACAGAGCAGCCGAGATGCCATCCGTGGGTGTGTCTACGGAACGATACCCTCTTTTCTCGAAACCAGAATTTCTCTAAATCGGCTGCTTGCCAATAGCTGCTTCAGCTGACATGACCAATCGAAGTTTTTTTGCCTCGTACGCGCCTGCAAGTGAGCAGGTGAAACACCGGATTCATGAGTTCCTAATAGATGTAGTGTCACTGAAAAAGCGTTTGGCCCGTGATCGTTTCCCACCGTTTCTCGTGCAGGGACAATCTTCTTTCCCATGACTCTACATTTACTGACGATACCAGAGTCCCGTGCCTCATTCGTTCGTCTGCAAGTGCCTCTGAGGTAAGAAGACTTTGATTCGCTGAAACAGATATTGGTCATACAGTAGGTTGGAACGGATTCCGTCTGAGGGAGAAGCGGAAACCGTTATATAGACACGCCAACAAACGACGTTGACGTCGGTCCATTTTTCAATGACGAATGTATCATTGCAATTAATCGGCTTTCACTGACGATCATCGTATGAAATGGCGAACACGTGGGTCGTCAGCTGATAATATCTTTCGTGCAGACTGCTTAAAATTTTTTTGTGCGACCGATTTTCAGGTATGGTACAATTGTTCGATCGACCACATCCTCTGCAGCTGATCGGCACGCTCTTTCCAGGATCCAGATGCTTCGACGGCACTTTCGGGCTGGTAAGATTTGTGATTTAGAATGGCGCTTATTCAGCCGGCTGTTGTCAGGATTTTCAGCCGTTTCGAATTGGAGGAAAAATCAGCTGAATAGGGTCTGGTTTCATAAGTTGAGGTCTGAATGAAAGGCAAATCGGCACTTCCTTGTCACCTATTAAAAACACCATATGGCAATCGATTTATCGAGAGGAGGCTCGGAATCGAAGAGCAGCGGCAACCAACAAGTAATAACTAGCTTTGTCCAGCGTTAAAATGCTTCCGATGCACTCTGAGTTGCTATATAACACGTATCTGAAGTCCTTAGCGCACAAAACGTGCCACAGGGACGAACATTTATTTTTACGACGTCGACGATGCACGCTTTCTACCGCACTGATCCGTGAACTACGCTCTCCACAAGCTCCCTCGATGAGTATACCGAGAGTGAAGAAGATAGGAAAGTTTCGAACCAGTTGGAATCTTGGTCTTTCTTACACCTTCGTGGTCAGGCCATTTCCGACGCCCTCTTTTTCATGTAGGTGATGGTGGAGCGCAGATCTCCATTTCCATGTCATCAGATAAAAATGACTTATTTTAGAGGCAGTGTAGGCAGCAGCTATGAGGCAAGCATGGTTTACAGTCGCCTGTTTCTTTCGCACAGAGAGGTATCCATTAATTAACCACGGAAAGAAGAAAGGCGAGTGATCTGATCGAGATACAAGTGCCACACCTCTCGGATCTGAGTCCATCGCTCCACGCACTGAGCAACCCCCGTTTGACCAACGCTACCCGCCGGTCTAGTGGAGGATTGCATGTCATACAGATGTACGATAGAGTGTATCCCTGTCATTAACTTTCTAACAGTTGGCATACGAGTCAATGGAAATCATATGGGACGGGGTCTAAACGCCTTGTTATGCCATGAGAAGAAGGATAACTGTTCGTTCGAGGGTAAGAGCTCTGCCACCAGCAAACAGAGGCATTTCCATAGAATCTGTTCCGTAAGGTAAGAAAAAAATATCTCTTCGCCCAGAGGATTAGCACTGCAAGCATTCTACAATGATATTGTGATGCTCTTCTGGATTACCATGCAGGAAAGGTACTATTGGTCTGTAATAAACCGCCGTAGAGCCGAAAAAGGCTTGATTTTGTTGTTTGTATCCAGTAGCAGGGAGGGGAAACTTTACTTTTGCAATTTATCATGCACATTAGGTTTTGCGTAAGTATACTTCACTGACTGATTGACGCGCCATGGACAGCGGTCATTCCTCAGCACCAACGCACCAAATCACTGCACCGCACAGAAAATGGTTTGATGATGTCCGGCCAGCGAGGCTGCACGTTTATTGGCAAAGAGATAAAGGACGGAGCATTTCCTTATTAATTCGAAACCAAAGTACGTAATTGCAAGTAAACGCGAAGTACCCCGAGGTGTATTAAACTGTTTGGTTAGGTTAGGTGCCCCCGGTTGTCGCAGGCAATCACGAAGATCTACCAAGAAGTAAATTTTATCACGTGATAGCTGACTAAAATCCATCGGAAGGTGTACAACGTAAATAAAATTGTATGAGGGAAGAGTGTCTACTAATGCTACTTATGACGTTAAGGGATTCACGAAGAGTTTTTCAACCTGAATATATCTGAAACTTAAGTGCCCGATACTACACTATCATTTATAACTAGAAAGTGGTTCCAACAATCACAACTATTCTTTCAGATTAATCAAAATTCCACTAAAAAACAGCAATATTACATATATTTCATGTGGCATACGCTCAGAAGACGATGAACAATCGAAGATTCATTTACGGATCTACTCGTCACTATCACCATTATCATCATCCGCTCCTCCTCTTCCTCCTCCTCCTCCTCCTCCTCATCATCATCATCATCATCATCATCATCATCATCATCATC